ATTTTACTTACTTGGTTCAGGTACCTACCTATAGTTAGTACCTTGGCTGAGCCGCCAGACTTGCATCAAAACACAATTTTTCACTATTATAAAGCCGACTCAACAACTTGTCTCTAATATTTTTCAGTGTAATGAATCATTGAGATAGAGGTGAGTACATAAAAKGGGAGGGAATAGGGGTCATGGTCCTTCTAGACATCATAAACTAATTATAGATAATGATTTCTTTTAGAAATCTATAAACAGAAGTACATAGTGTTTATAAATAATAATCAACGGTACTGTACATAGATTTGTATCACATTTATTACATTATCACATTTAGGTAGTCAGTGGGTATAAAAAACCTAACCCACGCCATTTGAAAACCGAATCAAATCCGCTTGCTACTATGGCTACTAACTATATCATAATATAATAATGATATAATTATAATATCACATGTATAATATTAAGAGATATTATTTAATCGTTTAACTTCATATTTGATTCAAATCACCTAGCATTATTTAGTAACAGAGTTGCAGACATAATATTAAACTATATTATGTTATGCGCCTATACAGATTACGCACGCATTTATTAATATGAAATATATTTTAATATTCATCCGAAATGTAGTTCAATAATTTACAAAAATAAAACTATATATACAAACATATTAATTTACAGTAAACTCGCGATATAACAAATGAAGCTGTCGTTCCCAAAAAAATCTCATGTTTTAAAAATAATGAAATGTATTTTTCGTTCATCTAGAGTGATGTAAGTTGTTTAGGCCAAAGCTCTTGCGATTTAAAAATGTTAAGTTAATTATTTACGACGATTAGGTATCATGTAATAACATGTTCGAGTTCCTTATTGTTATTAATTCATGTATATCGACTATTAGATCTATTAGTAAATAATATTGTATAATAGCCTCAAATATTATAAATAATGAGAAATCAAGTATCTGCACCCTCTCAATCAGAAGCGTATTTATGGGGGATATGACTATGAGAGATAGAACCCCACCCCCTCTTGGTATATTATTAGTTACTTATTTAAAATACTGTGATGTTTATGGTAAGTTATTTACAGAATTATGACATTGACAAGTGTGTGTTTTCTTGCATTTTAATTCTAGATAACGCTAGATAAGTTATGTATATAATATATATATAATAATTATAGTAATAACCAGATAAGCAAAAGTAACTACAAAAAGAAAAAAAATTGCATATTCTAAATGTATAATGCTGTGTAATACAGTAGTGGCATAATTACTCTTATATTTTTAAACACATGTATTATTATGATAAAACCATTATATCTATGTGAATGTAAATATTAGTGAATTAAAAAAATAAATATTGAAATAAAAAATTTTGTTGTATTGAGAGTTGACTGTATTACTAAATTGAGTATATGAGTATGAATAGGGAATGACAAATAGTTAAATATGTATCTGATAAAAGTAATCAAGAATCATATAGTACCTAATAATATGTTCATTTATTTTATTAAAATAATAAAATATTAATAGCTACTTAATATAATATGAAAAAATGTGAAACATTGTACAATATTAAATATGTATAAATATGAAGAGTTACTTATAATTAGAGCGTGGATTCGTGTTGTGATACCCACATGTGTTCTCTGTTTTAGAAGTGCATAACATAGCAAATTATACGCTTAGCAAAACAAGTGTAGCTCTGTTAGTTTAAAATTTAAGTTAATAAAATTTAAAGGTAAGATTATTATCTAGACAATCTTAGGCTTTTAACATATTATATTAATTTTAAAGCGTGTTATGAGTATTTTAAGATTATTAACACTATTTACAATTTTAAAATACGAAATACAGTTTTAACATTTTGGTGCATATATTTATACATGTTAAAGATTTTTTTAGCACATATTTGGTAGGTTTTGAATGCATATAAATCTGCGTTCTAGTTATACCTATTAAATACAATAACTTAACATACACAATACCTAATTAACAACAAACTATAATGATACTACATAAAAATCATTAATAAATAATCAAACTTAATTTTGAAGCCAACATAATATGAATAAAATAAAAGYACTTGAAATTTATTTTCTACAGTAACACTTTTAGGTAAGAGCTAAAAATATAGTTATCATATTAATCARATGTTGTATTGCCTACAAATACATTAATTAATAGTAACTAGTTTGATATAACATCTATGTTATTTTATCACAATCAAACATTTTAGTTGATTACAATTTTAAAAATAAATGAACAACTAAAAAGCAGCTAGATTTTAATTAGCTTGTATTCATAATTCAATTTTTTTTTTAATAAGGTTATTTCTATTTATAGTTTTTTGATACTACAATAATTACATGTTAATTCTTATGATGTATTGGTAGGCAATTATTACATTATCATAAATAACAGCTGTAATAAATKAGTATACAATAATTAAAACTTAAATATAACCAATCAATTAGATACATTAAAGATGCATTTTTTAAATATTTTCTTTAAATTGACTTTAAAAATAACTAACAAAGTATGAAAATCTTCATCCTTTTAAAATATGTTTTTAATAATGCCAAATATCTAGTCTGGAAATAAATGAATAAATCGGATGTTACAAATAAACTCTTACTTTTGAAATCTGTATGAAGTTCAAGTTGAGTTAACAAAGGAACCGCACGACTTAAAATGTGTACACTTTGTTTGAATTCTAGTAATCCTGACTGCAACAAAAATAAAATTTTAGTGAATTAAAATATTATTTATTTAAATGTCTTGACTTTATAAGTATAAGTATATATATATTAATCAAAATATGTTTTAATTAAAAAATATAAATTTTAATAGGTGAATATTTTTTTAAAGTTTAAATATAAGTAATTATAATCCAAAATATCTTGTCGTTTGATCAAATCATAATACCACATTACCTGTGGTGAGTCTGGTTCTAATGCAACATTGGTGAGGATCAAAACTTTTAAACTTGTATTTGTAATATGTTGCAAGCAACGGTGTGAAATCTTTGTCGAAAACAACTTTAAACTGGTCAACTCTGAAAATATAATATGGTTGAAAAATAACATTAAATTAATATTTATTTAATAGCATAACTACCTTTCAGATTAGATATTGGCAATTTAATGAAAATTTCATCATTTAATACTGTACAATTGTCAATCCACAAATGCTTTAAATATGTGAGATTCCTGAATAATAGTAGTAAATCTTCAGCTTCAAGAATATTGCCATTTCTTATTCGTAAGCTTGTTAAATTGTTACCAAATCTTAATATTTCTTGATTTGAATGAAGATAACAATCTAATGACGTAAGAGACTTTAGCTTGCATTCTGGTATTGGATATATTGGGAGATCAAGATAATTAAATGCCGAAGCTCTAATAAATGATAATGTCCTGAGATATTTCAGATTTTTTAATGATTCCACAAACAACCTTAAGCATTGATCACTATTAGAGATATTTAATTTTTTATCAATATAAGTTAATGTCAAGTGTCGAAGATTACATAGTTTAGATACAGTGGATAACAAATCAACAGGTAAGTAACATATTTTTAAATGTTCTAAAGATACACATTGACCTAATACTAAGTTTAACTTATCATAGTCAATGGAACGAGAGGTAATTGTGTCTATAAGATCCAATGTCAATGATTTAAGACCTAAGTGTATGGAATGAGTCAGATACATTATACTACTACCCTCATTTAAGCTGAGACAATTTAAGCGAACAAAATTATTTAAATGATATACAACATTTGTCTCCGAAAAAATATCAATTGAATTATATTTGGTCAATGAATTATCAATATTAATGCTGTGACGATAAAACCTTTGAATGATTAAGTTACAACCAGTTATTCTACAATTAAAAATACTTAAATGCTTTAAATTTGGAGCAAATTTCACAATTTGATTAAAATCTCTATCGCATAACAGAACACAATCTAAAGCAATATAGCACAATTTGGGTATTGGTGTACGGTCTCTATCAGTTAAATAGACATATAACAGACTTGTAAGTTCTAATTCTTCGAGATTACTACAGCATTGGGCAATAGCATCTAGATATGAATCACTTAGCAAATTCAAATTATTTAAATGTAGTGATATAATGTGATTCCCTAAGTTTGTGAATATAGTTAAATCATCTGTAAATGTTAAATTAACAAATTTTAAACATAACAATTTTCGTTTTGATTTCCACAACATATCTTTGAAATTGTTAAAGACATTCAAATTGTCCACAGATGGCTGATAGATAAGTATCTCTTTTCTTGCGAATAATGGGTGAGATGAAGCATAATAAAATACTTTATTGACCCTAGCCAGTTCTCGTCGATCATCAAATGGCAAGTATTCCAGTATTTGTGTGATGATCTGCAAATTCAAAACAAAAATATAAGTACCTTCAACACAGCCTAGTAAAAATTATTTTAAAACTATTTACACAAATACAAATACACCCACTTGATAAGTAACTTATACTATTAACTTGTTCATGGTGCTACCAATTATGTTTAAACAAAAGTACAGCGGCRACATAGTGGGGATCATTAATTTTTTTTAATATATTTATATTTTTACAAATACAAAGCTGAAATGATTTGGAAAAATATACTTGGCATATCAATAATACAATATTTTATGGCAGCCCACAGGAACATGACATTTAACGTGTTAAACAATTAACAGTTGTAAATGAAATATAAAATAAATGAATATTCAAATAAATTTTCACTAATTTGATTGTAATCAAAAATAAAATAATATATTAACAACCCAAAATAAATAAATARATCTTATTTTTAAAAGTTCAAATTAAGGTAGGCGCGTATTAATATTTGATATTCAAATACAAATACATCCAAGACAATATTTAAAAAKCATTCAAATTAAATACATTTACCCAAATAATTTACAAGACTGATACAACAGCAATATAACATTTGCTCAAATAGCACCAAACAATACGATGTTATGTTATTAATGATTTTCACATACCTCTGATGGCAAGGATTCCATTTCTTCTTTTAGCAATGTGTATAAATAAACAATGTTGAAAAATTGTTATACTAAWCAAGTTATAAAAATCACCAAACACTCAACCGCCTGATGAGTATAGTATACAAAGTATGCATTCCGTATTCGTTGCGTGGTTAAGTAAACAACGTTAACTTGATTGCGATGCAATTACAATGGATATTAAAGTCTTCAAGCCTTCAAACGAGTGATAAAGTAACTACTATCTTACGTTCAAGTACTAATACACTATAAAGCAACGCGGTATACAACAATAATTATTACACCGAGAAACTGAGTTGTCATGCGCCACGAGGTATTATGACTACAGCAGTACAACGTTTGCCGTTTGCCGTTTGTCGGGTCTTGCCAGTCTCGGGTTTGCTCAAGTAGTAGTCGGCCATCAAATCCCCTCCCATCGGCTCATACGACGGCGGGCAACGATGGTAACGTCGAGCAGTAGTGTTACCGGCTTACCGCTGCGGTCACCAGTAACCACATCGCCGTCGACGACTACCAACATTATAGACCTATACATCGCTTACTGGTAACAGTTTTGATCATCTATTAAAGCTTTTGAACAATATTAATAATCAGTAATTCCCTTAATCTTTCTTAYGATAAATCCAGAAATATAGTCTATAGTTTTAATTTTGTAATCTGATACATTTCAATCTTCTTTAGTGTTATTRGTAATTATAAATAATACTAGGTTCCTCTTGAACACACATTATAATATCTAAAAAAAATCTTCGACGTTTTCATACAGAACTCGAAACGTGTAAGATGTTTTCGGGATTGTGGCGTCTTGAGGATATTTATAATTTCACATAATTCAGTTTTTACTATAACGGTAACACTGTTTTTCCCAGCTCGTAGCTCTATCTCGACYTTTCTACAATGTTTTTTGACGTTTTCTCTCTCTTCAGTCTTCATACAGACGCGCAGACGCGCAGTTCATTTCTTTATTTTATAGACCTACATGACGTTATGACCGACTTCGCCACGATCACGGTAGTTTTATAAAGAATTTGGTGGGGGGTGCACCAACTAGTTTTTGTCTTCGCACGGCATGTTTTCTTGTAAGTTGTTGAGTTGTAGGACACTAGGACAGAATATTATAGCATAGAACATGATTTTTCCCTAAGAAGACAAGTGATATTTTCGAATTCAACCACAGGGCCCTGGAGATCTATTTTATCCATAGAGTAACACGTTACTAAATACTAATGTTACTTGTGTTACTCTATGATTTTATCACAGCCCACAGCTTGGGAATGGGCCGAATGGGGATCTAGTAGAACCGGGATCTAGGTGATTTGTCACAAAAATTACGTAACATTGATATCATATGTGATAACGTGATAACGATCACGTTTATATAACCTCACTGTTGAATACAATAACATATGTTTGATTACATTTTTCTCTACCACATAGGACAAGGCGCTAATGATTTTCTCACTTATCGTCTCGGTCAAATAATTCTATTTCTTTGCTCTCCTGCTTGTATTCTCATTTTTTTTCCAAACGATTTGTATAGTTCAACTTAAAATATACTCGTCATTTTCCAAAACAGATAAAACGTCTACAATGTTTCCTTCGGTGGTGCGTGCTTGTTCAAAATTATCCCGCGGAGTCATGGCTGTTGGGCGACAGTCAACAATCAAACCGATCACAGCCGTTTCTGCGAGGTAATCAATACTAATAATATCACTCCATCCGTGTTCGGATGACATTTTTACGCCTATGTTTTTYGATCGTTAATACCGTCCTTTAGGTTTATGTCTGAACACAAAGAGGAGACCGACGAAGAGTTCTACTCAAGGTATGAAGCGTACTTCAACCGCAGCGACATTGACGGATGGGAAACGAGGAAAGCAATGAATGATTTGGCAGGTCAAGACGCGATTGCTGAACCAAAAGTATGTTTAACCACTGTTAACACTATTTTAATATCTATCATGCATGCCAATGCATAACTGACTGTGAKATGTATAAATCTAGGTGATTATTGCTGCTCTGAAAGCTTGTCGCCGTCTCAACGATTATGCCTTGGCAATTAGGTTTCTAGAGAATGTGAGAATCAAAAGTGAAATCGATAAAAGCATCTATCCTTACATCTTACAAGAAATCTCACCAACTCTTCAAGAATTAGGTATAGACACACCCGAAGGTCTTGGGTATGACAAACCAGAATTAGCATTGGATGATGTTGATCACATTTATTAATAATAATTAATATATTTCTGTGATCACTGGTGTTCACTGTTCCAGTTAAAATGTATGTTAGACATGTGTAT